ACTGCAAAAAACACAGGAAAGTCAGAGTCCAGCCCAGAGAACTGAGAGCTCTTTCCAGTGTGTGTCATGACATAACACAATATGGGTGAAACAATCCACTTCACTAAATTAACCTTGTCTCATCAACCACCCACAGCCAGGGTGCTCTCACACATGCCATCTCTGCTTCCATCATCACTGCTAGATGAAAGTTAACCAAAATATCATCAGTTGAAGACCTATAGTTTCTCAATGCTTTTGGCATTACAAGACAACAAGGAAAGCAGACCACGAGGGTGCTAATTCAGAGCTCTCCATGTCTCTCTTTGATTTTCCTTAATTTTTAATAATTTTTTCCCATTTCTGCCATTTCAAAAAAATCAAACATCAGCAGATGAGTTAGTTTCCAATAGTACTATATGTTAAATCCTCACTGGCTTTTGGCAAACATATGCCCAGTTATCCATCCCCTTGCTCCCTCTGCTGCCTTTGCTGACAGTTCTCACTGAAACTCCCAAATCCTGCTCATCCAGCAGCATGAGAGAGCTGTGCAGCGTCTGCATGCAACAGGCCCCCCAACCTGCACTGAAAATCATCTGTGACCAGGATAAACTCTGCAACAGAGTTCTCAGAGCATCTATCCAATGAGTTTTGAACGATAACCAGCTATATGCCTTAAGCCTTCTGACATGTGTCTTGGTACTGTCATACAAGTGTGTGGTATGGAAGTGTCCTTATCATTCCCAGATACTGGCAGCCTAGAAACCAGAAGGATAATTGACAAAAAAACCCACAGTCCCTGTGTGTACCCATGGCTCACCTGTCCAGTGCTCATGCCACAAGAAGTGTCTAGGACCCACCAAGTACTGTGGCAGCACTAAGTTCTCACTGCTGTTGCTTTGCAGCTCAGCGCTTCAAGGAGACCATGCAGCCACCAAAGTTGAGAAATTCAGTACCTGTGTGGTTTCTCTCGGCTCAGCAGGGAACCAAGTGCTGAAGAGTCTGCATTACTGTTTCCTGGCATGCTGGGACAGCAGAACTGCTTCACAGAAGTTAGTGTACCAAAACAATTCAGGCACTGATGTTCCTCAGCAATACAGAAAAACTACAGCTAGGGAAACCTGAGTTTGCCCAACCAGCTTGCCCTTTTCCATAGATCTAGACTTATCAGAGAATTGAATTGAGTGGACTCTGCTGAGGTGCCACTCCATGAATACACGTGAACTCAAACATCCTCCTCCACAGCTAAAGGGATAGAACTATTGTGGACATTTAGTGATTTTTCAGAATAAGGTTTATTTCTTCCATTTGATATTAGCCTAGATTGGCCTTTCTCAGGTACCAAACTGGTAGGACTTTCACTCAATTACAGTAAGAGCTTCCCTGTTCCTCTGTGTGAAGGGAGTTGTTGTGCCTGCTTAACTTACCGCATACATACATTTCATCTCGCTACTTCTCTGAGAGAAATTTGGGACACAAAATTATACATTTAAGTACTGATCATTAAAGTGTACACAAATCCATACACAAAACACCAAGTAATAAGAAAGGTATTAGTTGTACGAGCATGTGCATATATATATAAGCAATCCTTTCAGCACTAAGAAAACATCTTTGAAAACTACATCTTATACACTGAGATCAAAAGAGGTAGTCTCCCTGCTCTATAGCCACCTAGAAATCAGGTGGCTTGTCCAAGCCAGTCATCGAGACTCCTTCTGTAGTCAAGCAAGAGAGATAAGTGTCTCCAGATTGCCATTTATCCCATTCTAGGATAGGTGAGTAAAACAGGTGAGATGAATCACCCTGGCATCGCTGTCTGCTGGGGGAGGTGGGGGGAGGGTGGGAAATTACTTCCTAGATTACTAGCTTAGGAGAGATACTTAACTTTTAGCAGCTTTTAAGAGGAATCCCATGCTACAAGATCAGGTAGGATTATAATGATTCACACATTTGTGAAAAATCACATTATATCTGGGCTCATGAGGAAAGTAAAAATTTAAATTTCCCATGGGAAAAAAAAAATCATCTTAGACTCTCTATCATTCAAACTCTAGATCACTGAATCTATTATCAGAGCTTTGGGGACGTTTTGTGAGTTTTCCTAAAGACATAAGGTTCATACTGTTGTATTTTTCCCAAGAAAATGAGATTCACATTCCAAATGGTAAGAAATTATTTGTTGCAAACCTGATAGCCATTTAAATATGACAGACATATAAAAAAAATCTGAAACATTTACTGGGAGCATGTTACCGAGTAAAGCACAGATCGTTCAGTGTCAATTAGAGACAATAGTTTTTCCACATCTGTTGTTCTCCAGGAGTTCAAGGTTCTGTTTAAGTTTTGCACAATATTCATGCAAACAGTAGGAACAGCTATTTTTAGTAGTATCTCTCAGTGATACCTCTTCCACTACTAAAACCAATAGCACTATTTCTCCCTTGCAGCTAAGTACAGTAAATGTGAGCGTTTATTACCTATAAATGTAGGTAATTCCACACAAACAAAAATCTCAGAACAAAAAACTGCTCAGACCAAATGGGCACAGTTTGCAAGTTCTTTTAAACCACTAATATTTACATTAGATAGGCAGCAATATTTAATACTTTCATGAAATTCACACTTGGCATTCCTGCAAGGCTAACTGTTAAAGAAATTGAAATTTCAGGCTTGTACTAGTAACATATGTAATTTCAGTCACTGGGTGCCCAGTTTCTCCCTGCATGGAAGAAACAACAGGCTACATCAGAAGCCCTGGATAAACTAAACTCAAAAATGTTTTGCTCTGCTCATTTCCTACTGTCACCCCCTTTCAGATTTTCCCTTCTCACGTCAAATATTTACAAAATGAGTAAAAAGCATTAAAATTTGATTAAGTGAGCACCAGATCAAAAGTGGCTCTAAATTCTAGATGTCAGATCCTGATCTCACAAATCAAGTAAAATGTAGACATAAGATTTGCCCTTCTCTGCATCGCTGTGGCTGGTTGATACGATTCACAGATACTTTACCAGCACTATATTGATATTCAGGTGTTAATAAGTAACTGTCACAGTCACAATTGAAACACCGCCCTACATATAGTGATTCATATTTTGTGTTCCTTTAAATATAACTACAATGCTGTCATGCTAACAATCACTGAAATCCAAAATGGGTGAGGAAAATAGCAAAAGCTTTCATTTCCTTGTTAGTTTACAACCATTTCACCTGTCTTATTCCAGAGTCTGGTGCTGCATTCCAGTAATGGAAGCACTGGGAAGGCTAGAGAGGTGTAAAAGGACCATAAAAGAGAAACACCAGGAGACACCATGGAGATCAACAGGTCACACACTACAGTTTTACAGCCCCAGTTTCCAATGATGCTGGCTCACAGACAGCAGACAGTCATAGCCTGGACATCTGCAGGCAATGAGCAGAGCAAAGCAGTGCCTACATTGTATACGCCCACTTGCTTCTACTCTCCATAACCCATTACATGTTCCTACACAGCAACTATGAGATTTGGGTTCAGAAAGGTGGCAGATTTGAAGCATTAAAGCACATATTTAAATGCCTTGCTTCACTGCAGACATACTTGGTGGGGGCTCTCCTCATATCTGCTAAATTCAACAGAGAAACAGATGCAGGTTCTCCACTAGACCACGATCCAGCTCTCAGTTTCCCCTGCAGTCAATTTCCCCCCCTTTCTCTTCAATACTCCCCAAATTTTTTCTTCTGAAGAAAGTAGCTGAGGAAAAAAAACCAAAATCACCATCCTTTGCTCCTGCAGACCTTCATTTTTTAACACAGACTGGCACAACCAGCCCCACAGTCTTTAGGTTATTTTATTTGCTCAAAATATATAGCTGTCAATATTAAAAATGAGTGATTATCTGCTAGCATACCAAGGAATTACATATCCAAGGTAAAGATTTTAAGTCCTAATACATTTTTACAGACTTCATCAGTACAAATAACAAGGATCAAGAGTTTTACACCTCCTAAGATGCATTACAGACACATTAAGACTAATTAAATTAACAGAATCTGGGTGCACATCTCTGGTCACACTTACATTAGCACCACACAGAGAAAGCTGAACCTGCAGAATGAAGGGCAGTACCGAGGACCCAGCATCCACTTTGGGTTTTTTACTTTGAGCAACCTCTAATCTGGATCTGTGGACCAAAACACCCGCTAGCGGCTGGCACGCACAAGGTAAAGCATATCCTACATCCATCCATGCATCTGACCTCAGCCTCACTTCATGACGTGAGCTGACAAGTACCAAGGGGGGACAAACGGAGGCTGACTTAAAAGTGCTGCATATTTGAGGTAATCAGTGCGAAAGACTTTTGCTACATAAATATTGACATTTCAATGTATCTCAAGTACTTCCGGGTTTAAATGGCAGGGATAAAGCTGATTGGAAGTTTCTCAGCAACCCCAGTTACTTATTTAAATATGCTTATTTTCATCACCACTGCTGTTTTCCTTCTGTGTACCCAAAACACTCCAAGGCACACTATGGCCATGCAGACATGCCTGCAAATGAACATGAGTCTATTTAGACATCTACAGGCCTTTACAACAAAAAAAGCTGAGCTAATTTCTACAGATATGGTCTCTTCCACCAAAAGATCTTGGCAGAAAAGAATTGTTGGGTTTTATTTTTTAAATTTAATTTTATTTCCATATTTGCATTAAATCCATGTATATGACTTATTGTGGAAATCAGACTTTAAATGAGCTTAAAATACTGGAAGAGAAGAAAATTTGAGCTGTTGATTCTTTTTAGACTTAGAGGCCCTCATAACAGAGTTAACAAGACTACAAAAGTTCAACCATTTCGTGCATGCAGGCTCCAGCAGTGGAAGTCTGCATTTTCCAGTCACCCATGTATTTATTTGACATTACCATACAATGGGAAATAATGCTGTGGAAGCTCTGAGCAACAGTATGCAAGGAACTCCTGTAAAAAGAAGCATTAGTATACTTTTACAAATCTTTTCAACAACAATAATTGGATACAGTACCTTTTCCAGACCTATTGGCACATGAGTGTGGGAAGAGCTTGCTTGGAGGTTGCTGGTGCCAATTCTGCAGGACAGTTACCAGCAGGCAATTCAGGGGGCACTTTCACTGGCAACTGCAAAGCAGGAAAATAAAGGGGGAAAATATTTTGGAGAAAAAAAAATCTTGAAGAACAAAATACAGACTTTTGGTGGTTTGAACAACATAAAGCTATTGGAAACTGTCTGAACTGTAAAATTAGATTTATTTAAAGGACACAAATAGCTGGTTTGATTTTAAAAGCACTTCAGCTTCCATTGCCAAATGAAATTTTCTCAATCCTCAAGCTTTAACAGAATTGCCCAACTTTTTTTAAACAATTCCTCACAATTCATAAGGCACATATGAGAACTTTGCTAGGCATCAGACAAAACAGTGCATGCAAGGATCTACCCAATTCCCTCCCCAGGTGCAGCTCTCATCTTGCTTTATAGAAATGCCACCTTGAATAAGATTACCATCCAACAGTTACACCTCATTCTCTCCCATGCACAAAGTGCCACGATTCCTGATAACTTATTCAAATTATTCTGGAGCCCAGGCCAGACTCTCAGGTGTAACTTTTTGAACCAGCTTGGACCAGGAAGAGTTAGGAAATGCACTTTTCCGCAGCCAGTTGCCAATGGCTCCCAAAACAACACAAGTTAAAAACCAGTAATAGTCAAATGATAGTCTGACCACTAGTGCAGGGAAAGATATTATCAGAGATGTGTATAAGCTGACAAATATTTATTTATCAAATTTCTTTTCTGCCTGAGAAAATGATCAGGGTGTTTCTCTATCTGTCTGGAAAAAGGATGGTGCTTAACTAGCATGAGACTGCAGTCTACTTGACTTTACAACTAGAACAGTCTCTGTCTGAGCACCAAGCTGCACTGGTTTGGAAAACACTCAAATGCTGAATTTTAAACTTGTGCAAGAGTCTCATTTCAGTTTAATAGTGACTTATATTAGTTCACCCTAAATCCAGTGCTTACTAACATAAGCTAAACAGAACAAATTCTAAATTACAATGACTGTTTAAGACAAAGTTTTTCCACTGCAATATCTAAGTCAGTATTAAACCAATCTGAGGTAATTTTAGAGGTAATTTTGTAGTATATATAAAGCCCTAAAGAATTCAGAAACAATTATGCTACTATTGTTCATACAAATAAAACAAAACTTGTAACACAGTGCAGCCTTTGTAGTTCTTCCTTCATAAGCTTTTGATAAAATAAGTGAAATACTCTCTACTCAACATTTCCCTAACCTTTACCTATAAAGAAAGAAAGCCCCAGATGAGTCAATGCTTTTCAAATTGATTGATACTTTACACAAGACAAAATTAAGATTCATATGTCACGATTAAAGCAATTCTCTCCCAATGGTGACTGTGTCACTCTAAAAATAATTCAATGCAGTATTCCGCTGTTAAGTATAGAGAAAAGTGTTTCCTTTAGAAGAGGAAATTCTCCTAAGGAAGTTGTTTTGAGCTAAATAAAAGTTCAGGATGAAGCCAGCAAAAGGTGTGAAGGATTTCTCTTTGATTTCTCAGCTTGTGTATTTGGGCTCAGACAGACTACATTTTATGCACATATTAATAGGATGCTAATAAGCCTACAACTCTAACAGGGAGCTGTAGAGACAACCTGATATGTGGCACCAGATATAATGGCTGTCTTAAGCAGGAGATTTATTTCCCTCTTGCCCAGGGAGTGAATTGGACTACATACTTTTTATTACAAGTTCAGATGGAAATGTCTTGCAAAGTTAGGCTGCTACTTTCGTTGGAGTGTTCCTCGGTTAAAGTAACCTTCAAAAGACTGAAATAGAAGCCAAGCCTTTTAGAGTAACTAGGAGCAGCTTTTGCTCTTCACTGGTAATCTTACATGCAAAATAAGGCCACTGAGTTGCAAACCCCCGTAAATTACTAGGTCATGAAAACAATCCTGATATCAAAAGCACAGAAACTGGCAGCATGTATTTAAACAGCTTGCTGCATCTCACAGAAAACTTTGAGAGATCCTATCTAGTTGTAAACTTCAGAGATATTTTAAAGTTAAATCTTTTAGGTTTTTTAAACACCTGAAAAATTTATAAAAGTGATATAAAGAGTAATAAGAACTAGTAAGTAAGACTAATCTCAACCATACATTTATCCTACTTTGCAGCTACCATAAAAAAAAAAAAATCCAAAAATTACATCTAGTATATCTGGTGCCACATATCCTAAAAATTAATTTAACTACACATTCAAACAAGTCTTCCATACACTTTCTCCCCCAAACAAATTTGGTTTTCGTCATTTCAACTTTTTTTTTCCCATATTTCAAAGAGAGATTAGGACAACTTTTCTTTCATCATCAGACACTTTAAAAAAAGGCCTTTTGCTTAAAAATCACATGCAAAACAGAATTTAAAAACAAACAACAGCAACAACCAAAAACCCCCCACCAAAACAACAATGAGCAAGTGATTTCCATTTAAATTTGAAACAAAAATCCTGGAAAAGTGTGATTGTTCTAAGCTTGTTGACACAGAAGCTCCCCCTTTTATCAACTGTTGTTTTAATGCAACTCTAAAAAAATCATAACAAGGATTTTTGTTGTTGTTTAAAAACCATCTACATGGCTTAGGCATTTTATATTATATTTTTTCAATATATATTCTTATTTCCAATCTGGTCAATTGCCCAGCACATACATATGCAGCTGCTAGTAAAACTGTGTGAAATATCTTCTATCCCGGGAAGGTTCTCAGCTTTAAATTTCTTTCTATCAGCTCAAGGCTGTACTGACAATCATCTCAGCAGTCAACAGAAAAAAAAATGGACAATTGACAATCATCAGTTACTCTGTCAGAAAGAAGAAATTCTTGCAGACTTTCTATTTTTAAATGTGAAATAAATTAGTTCTGAAATTACAAAGTAGTTTATTAATTTGAACGTTGACTAAATGGGATTTCCCTCACCTTTCCTGTCATTTCTACATGGGAAGTTTCATCTGTTCACTTGACCTTCTCCTCAAGAGAATGAAAAAAGGAGAAGCAAAGTGCCACACGATGTCTCATGACTGCTTTGTAAATTATTCAAAATGCCCTTGTGTCCATGTAACTGGCTTCAAAGGACTCATAAAAGTATCCAAGCACATTCTGAAATGAGGTACCCCACACTGCTCCAAAGGGGCTGTTCCTCACTTACACTACTGCAGCCACCACGGCACAACAGTTTATACACTAAGATGTTCTTTTGTAAATCTCATCTGCTCACATGATCTCTGTGCTGGAGAGGAGTCTCTCACCCTCCTCTTGCTGGAAGCCTAGCCTTGAGAAGGCCAAGTAGGAAGGTCCAGAGCTCCAGGCAACAGATTCGCTTGCAGAGGGAGGAGACAACTCTAGAGGACGGTCATAGTATATTGAAGCCTGTGCCCTGATGCTTGTGTGTCTGGTTACAGTTATACTGAAAGAATAGCAATAAGACAAGAAATTACTATTATCTCTTGCAAACCTACTTCTTTTTTCTGGCTATGTGACCTAAAAAGCCAGTGTCGAGAGAGGAACCTTTAAGTCTTCATAAAATAGGCAAGCCATAAACTAGAGCTCAACCTATTGTGTTGTTACGCACGCTGCATATAGATATAGATACATACACATACAAAATGGTGGTGCAACGTACAAAATACATATAAATACACTACTGGTTGCATTCTGTACTGTAAGCTGTGAGATTTGAAAAGCACGCATGCCTGCAGAACCTGGGCAGCTGTCCTCCATCATTTTGGGAAGCATTAAGATAATGCTCCAAAGCCATCTTTTCTTCCTCGTTCAGGGACTACCTTTTGAAACAAGTACAGTCTTTATGACCCTCTGCCTAAAAGCATCCTCAACCTCAAGGAAAGACAGACAGAGAGAAAGACAAAAACAGACAAAACCCCACAAGTTACAAAAACTTGGCTTATTTGATCTGGGTGGGGTTTTTTCTGTCCATATTTCAGAAGACAGATGTCATCAGGGTATAAAAAGATAATTTATGCAATGTCTAGATTTTAAATCCTGGAGAAAAGAAGTGGAAATGTTCTTCATTATTTACAAATTCAAGCACCCTCTGTTTGGAGACCTCCTTCTTTCTTTGTTTTTTATTCAATTTTGCTTTTCAAAGAGGCTTCAATCTAACATTCAAACAAAAAACCGAATCCTAAATCTATTCAATTGTCTTATAGTATCCCATAGATATTAACCACGCTTTGCTGATCACTGCGAGGTTTGCCAGTGATAGGTGATGAACTTTGTCTCTCTTGCCCTAGACTGTCAGACTGTCATTCCTTTGATTTTTTAATTCCCCCTCTGTCAGGACTAGGCTTCTCTGAAGATATGAGCAACAACAGACATACTGTGAACTGGGAGGGAAAGCCAAAGCATAAGAAAGATGAGAGAGCATATCTGAAGTATCATACATCTGTTTTGGTTCACTTGGTTTGACCCTGGCTGGATGCCAAGTGCCCATCAACGCCACTTTATCACTCCCCTCCTCAGGTCAGGGGAGAGAAAATACAATGAAGTCTCATGGGTCAAGATAAGGACAGGGAAAAATCACTCACCTGTTACTGTCATGGAAAACCAGACTTGACTTGGGGAAATTAGTTCAATTTTTTTAGCACTCCTTCTTTCTCAGGAGGACGACTCCTCACACTCTTCCCCTGCTCCACCCTTCCACAGGTGACAGTCCTCCATGAACTACTCCAAGGCGAGTCCTTCTCATGAGGTGCAGTTCTTCATGATCATGCTCCAGTGTGGGTCCCTTCCATGGGTGCAGTCCTTCAGGAACAGGCTTCTCCAGCATGGGTCCCCCACAGGGTCACAAGTCCTGCCAGCAAACCTGCTCTTTTCCCATGGGTAGGATCCTGCCAGGATCCTACTCCAGCATGGGCTTCTCACAAGCCTTCAGCCTCCTTCAGGCATCCACCTGCTGTTACATGGGGTCATCCACAGGCTGCAGATCTCTGCTCCACCATAGATCTCTGTGGGGTGCAGGGGAGTACCCTGCATCACAAGCTGCAGGGGAATCTCAGCTCCAGCATCTGGAGCACCACCTTCCCC